TCTCTCTCTTTTTTCTCTCCCCCCCCCCCCCCCCCCCCCCCCCCCCCCCCCCCCCTTTGATCGGTTGGCCCAGGGGTTGAGGTGTTGGTGAGGTTGAAGGGCAGTTTTGGCGCCTGGATGTGGGGTGTCAGCGATGGAGCTGGCATGTTGGAGGTGTCCGTGATGTCTCCATCGTTCCTGCGGTGTCCTGGCCGCTTTAGAGGTGTCTGTCCCCGATCCCCATCATCCCATGGGGGGGTTCATGCAGCATCTCCATCCCTTTGGAGATGTTCCTGCCCAATTTCCACCACCCGGGGAAGGTTCCTGTGGTGTCTCCATCACCTTAGAGGTGTCTGTCCCCGATCCCTGTCGTCCCATGGGGCTTTACGCAGCATCTCCATTGCTTTGGAGATGTTCCTGCTCAACTTCCATCCACCTGGGAAGGTCCCTTTGTCATCTCCATTGTCTTAGAGGTGTCCGTGCCTGATCCACACCATCCCATGGGGCTTTATGCAGCGTCTCCATCCCTTTGGAGATGTTCCTGCTCAACTTCCATCCACCTGGGAAGGTCCCTTTGTCATCTCCATTGTCTTAGAGGTGTCCGTGCCTGATCCACACCATCCCATGGGGCTTTATGCAGCGTCTCCATCCCTTTGGAGATGCCTGTGCCTGATTTCCACCACCCTGGGAATGTCCCTGTGGTGGCTCCCTCACCTTAAGAGGTGTCTGTCCCTGATCCCCATCATCCCATGGGGATTCATGCGGCATCTCCATCCCTTTGGAGATGTCCGTGCCCAATCTCAGTCACCCCGGGAAGGTCCCTGTGGCATCTATGACACCTTAGAGGTGTCTGTGCCTGATCTCTGTTGTCCTGGGGGGTGGGGTGGGGTGTCCCCCTGTGCCATCTCCATCCCTTTGGAGATGTCCGTGCTGTCTCTCCCTCACCCCAGGAAGGTCCCCGTGTCATTTCTGTTACACTGGAGATGTCTGTGTCGTCTCCGTCGTCCCGGGGTGGGGTCCATGTGGCATCTCCTTCACCCTAGAGGTGTCCACGCCGCATCTCCATCTCCCTTGGAGAGTCCTTGCGGCGCCTTCATCACCTTAGAGGTGTTTGTGCCATAGTTGCGCCATCCCGTGGGGTCCTTGCAGCATCTCTGTCACCCTGGAGGTGCCCGTGCTGCGTCTCCACCATCCCATGGGGTCCTTATAGCACCTCCATCACCCTGGAGGTGCCCCTGCCAAATCTCCATCACCCTGGGGGGGGGTGTGTGGGTGTGTGTATGTCCACGTGCCATCGCCATCCCCCCCCATGGTGTCCACGCTCCGTGTCCCCATCCCCCTCGGGGGTCCCGGCCCCGCTGCTGCTGCTGGGCCTCCAGGTGACCTTTCCAGCACCCACACCATTGCGTGGGCTCCCATCCTGCTTGTCCCCCACCCAACTGTGAACGGCTCTGCCCCGTCTACCCTCCCTGCACGGGTC